TACATGTGTACCACATCTTTTTTATCCATTCATCTACAGATGGGACATGTAGTTTCTGCCCTGTCTTGGCTATAACAGACCAGCTGGGTACAGCATAGGTAATATAGTCAATAACATTTTAATAACTATATATGGTTCAGATGGGTGTTAGTCTTATGGGGGAGAACACTTTGTATTTTTTTGTAAATTTCTAATCATTATGCTGTATACCTAAAACTAACATAATACACTATACCACTGTAATTGAAAAAAAATTTAAAGTGGCCAATTTTATTTCTATCTATCTATGTATTTATTCATCTATATATCTATCCACTTCTAAATATTTTCATGTAAATTTCTTTCATGTAGCTAAAGATATTATTACTCTAAAACCATGTTACCTTGTTCTGGATCACGAAAGTGATTGACAGTTTGCCAATTTGTATTTAAAAAATAAAACTTTTACTTCTAACCTGACATAAATGTGTGATCCATTGATCCATGTCATTTTTAAACTTATATTCTGAATCTAAGGAAACATTATGTCCTAAAGCACACCTTTTCAAAATGCACAAACCCCACAAAGATAAGCAAACAGGATATTGTGCATATTAGGAAACTGCTTAACAGGCCTTTCCAACCAAGAGGTGAAGACTCCATCTCAACGTCACTCAGGGTGATGGTAGTGACTGGATGTGGCTGTGGGGCAACCACTGGCCTTGGAAGGACATCCAGCCCTTGGTTCAGCTTGGGCTCTGGCTTGACTCTTCCTCATCTTTCAAAGCCTCTTTATAATGGGTAGGGGAGGCAGTGGGGTCCTTATCATTGAGCTTGGCCAAAAATTCCAGGATTTTCATCTTGCTGGTCTCAGTGTAGGATTTTTGGACCCCACAGGAACTCATAGGGTAGAGGATCACTGTTGGACACCTGCTGGTACATGAGGTATTTTTCCTGCACCAAATCTTGGGTGATAAGCTTCCTTGGATCCCCAAAAATGAAGTGACTCTTTCCATCATAAATGCCCATGATTTTCAGGGATTCCCAGATCAAATTCTCAGAGGCCCATTTGCAATTTAAGAACATGACACACAAGAGAAGCATCAGGATGCCTCTTACAGGAAATCTCCAGCCTCTGCTCAGACCCCCATTGCTGATGTCATCTTGATTGTTGACAAGAGTGCAGGAGTTCCCATTAGGCTCAACTTCTTTTAATTGCAGACCATAGAATAGATCCATGTGCTCAGAGGCTCTCCTGAGAATTTCAGGGAAGTTCTTGCTGCATGATTTGCAGACTAACTTCAACATGTCTGCCTTTTTAACAGGCTCTTTCATTATATACTGATATAGCAGGCACTCTACCAACATACTCACCTTCCTAATTAGAAGATCTTGACCTGAGCTCCCAATGGAAGTTGAGGCCTGGGAGGAACTTTTACTTTTAGGATTATGGCCTTTGGCTTTTCCAGCAGATCTTTCACATGATGCACCTGCAGCAGCACTGGTGGTGGCTGGGGCACTCAGCAGCACCTGGAAAGGGCCAGCACCAGTAGAGCTGGAGGGAGCATCCCCCAGAACAGAGGAGGAGGAGCAAGTGGCCTTTTCTTCCTCTCCTTTAGCAGCCAGAACACTGTTAAGACCTTCGGTCTCAGCTGTTTTTTAGCAGCATCTCTCATGAGCATGAAGCTTATTCTTCTGGCCACCAGGCATGATGGCTATTGTTTAGGAAAGCAGACAGGAGTGTGGGCCAACAAAAAGGTGATTTTGGGCACCTTCACTCCGGGAGGGCTGTGGTTTCCATAGGTCTCACACAGGGTCCTCTCCTTGACTTGAGGCCCATCCTGCGAATCTACCCTCAGCTGGGCTGACTAGAGATTAATACCCAGAATATATGCAGAACTCTTAAAGCTCAAAAACAAAAAACAAACAGCCTGATTTTAAAATGTGCAAAGGACTGTATAGACATTTCTCTGAAGAATATATACAAATGTCTGTTAGGCTCATGAAAGCACACTCAACATCACTAATAATTAGGACAGTGCAAACTAAAACCACAATAAGATACCATTTCACACTTAGAAGCTATTAGGGGAAAAAAAGGACAATGTGAAAAAATCAGAACCTTTCTATACTATTGATAGGAATGTAAAATGTATAGCTGCTGTGGAAAAGAGTATGGCAGATCCTCAAAAAGTTAAACAGGGGATTACCATGTGATAGAGCAAGTCTTCTTCTGGATATATACCTAAAATAACTAAAAGCAGGGACTGAGCCCTGGCCATATGGCTCAGCTGGCTGGGGTGTCGCCCTGTACATCAAAAGGTTGTGGGTTTGATCCCCAGTTGGGGCATGTATGGGAGGCAACCAATAGATATTTCTCTCTCACATCGATGTTTCTCTCTCTGTCTCTCTCTCTCAAATCAATAAAAATATCCTTGGGTTGTGATTAAAAAATAATAACAAAAAATAAAAGCAAGGACTTGAACAGATATTTGTACACCAATGTTCATAGCAGCATTGATTACAATAGTTAAATTCCATTGACAGATGAATGGTTAAACAAAAGGAGGTATATACAAATGTATACACTATTCAGTATATATAAATAGTATGGAAAACTATTCAGTTTTAAAAGGAAATGAAATTGTGATACATGCTACAACATGGATGAACCTTGAAGATATCATATCTAGTGAAATAAACCAGACACAAAGGAAAATATTGTATAATTCTGCTATGAATTCCCCTATTGTAGTCAAATTCATAGAGACAGAAAGTAAAATGGTGATTTCCAGATGATAGGGGAAGGGGGAATGGGGAGTTATTGTTAATAAGCACAGAACTTTAATTTGGGATGATGAAAATGTTCTGGAGATGGGTAGTGGTGATGGTTGCAGAATACTGTGAATGTACACATGGACTATGATGAACTGCATACTTAAAACTGGTAAAAATAGTAAAATATATGTTATGTGTATTTTACCACAATAAAAATTAGAAAGATACTCTTCAAGGATGAAGATTTAGCACCGTGGCAGCAATGGGATGTGGGGCAGGGTTGGTGTACTCCTTTTCTCTATCTCCAATTGACATCATCCCCTATAACTTTATGACTGGTTATTGTCTCCTATTTGTCCATTTGGACTCTTATTTATTCTGAATACCACTACCAAATATCCACATAGCTATTTCCCTCTTTGTCTTTTTTTTTGCTTCCATAGTTTCTAAAAAGAAGTCTGCTGTATTTCTTATTTTTCCCCTCTATATGTAATGTACCTTTGTTCTCTATCTGCTTTTAAGATTTCCTCTTTATTATCAGTTATATCTAATAATGAATTTATAAGAGACAATGTCAGTGGTAGAGAGGAAAACAACAGGAGCCGACCAACAACATCTCACTGCTATCCTGGTAATAAATCTTCATTGTTGAAAAGCATTTCTGGTTGTGCAAGGATACTATATAGACCAGAAGAGCCTGTTTTTCAAAACTATGAGATAATGTAAACTTCTATCACACCATATGCCTATGGACCACCTTAGGAAAAGAAGCAGTGGAGGGTAAGGGGAAGTTATCTTGGAGACAGAGTTTTCTTTTTCCTAAAATAGATGTGTTTCTTGTAGGACCCATCTAAATTATTTAATCAGATAAAGCTTAAAACAATAGTCAATTCTGAAAGGACCTATATCTAAAAACACAAGTTGGAAATATATGAAGCAATGTAACTAATGTTCCTGGTGTTGTGCAAAGTACTGGCCCTGCTTACCAACCTCCTCACTTTTCATTTCACTTTATTCACATCTCTGTTCAATGATCCTTCCTCAGAGAGCTTTTAAAGTAATCATTCTACCCAAAACAGCCATTTCCTCAAACATTTCTTAATCTTGCTCTATTTTTCTTCATAGCATTTAATCACATGACATTTTATTATTTATTGGTTACTTGTTGTTAGTCCCCACAACTAGAGATAAGCACTAAGGGTGCATTTTGTCTTATTCATATCATATACTCAGAGCATAAATCAGAGCATATGTTCAATAATTGTTGAATAAATGAATTTATCTAATTATTTATGTATTTACTTTATATTATTTACATGAAGTATACATTTAACATTTATTTCACCATTATGTTATGAATATGACATTAACTGTCATTTTCAATTTTATCATTTATCCACTCATTGTGAAGTCACTTACTGAGCCTCTACTTTGTGTTATGTATATAGTTAGCATGAGAGGTGTATAAAGAAAGATTTCCATAAAGAAGTCCCCACTTCCTGACGAACAAATTTAAAGTCAAAGTTTTTAGGAGGCAAAGATTGTACACCCTAAATCCAAGGGGAAAATAAATTTTTATGTTTTTAAAAACACTCGAGAAGTTAGGTTTCTTTCTGGAAATGTGTAAGTCGTTTTGCTTCCTTCCAACCCATCCAAGGAGCCCAACTCCCCAATTTTCCATCAGTGTCAAGTCAATTTTCCTAGCCAGCCTTGCTCAAAGTTCCTCCCTTGGTAACTGATAGGTGGGGAAATCCCACTAAGTACCCCCGCCTTTCCCCAGCACACACACACACACCTCCTTGTTGTACAGAGTGGCGTGACCTGTGGGAGGGGCTGCTGAATCGACCAATGGAAGGAAGCCGGAGTAAGAACCTGTGTAAACAAACGCTGAGGTGCTGTACCTTGGGCTCCTCCCATCAGGACGCCCAATGCGGTCCCATTGCCTATCCAGGACTAACCTAGCGTCCTTTCAGCCAATAAGAGCCAGAGTCTCCCGCAAGGGTGCGCCCCACTTGGAGGGAAAGAATGAAGGAAGCGAAGAGACAGATGTTAATACCAATCAGAAGCTGGGACTTGTGGGGGGAGTGGGTGGTAACTACTTCACATTTAAACCAATAAGCGCCACATGTGCCCTTCTAGGTTACTGAGCGGCATCCTCTTCAACCCAATAGACGAATAGGGCGGTGCCCAGCAACCAATGGCTAGGGTTCGGGGGCGGGGTGAGGAGTCAGTGAGCTGTAAGAGGCAACCTGGCGAGTGCTTCTTCGTGCTGTGGCTCACGCTTTAGTACTGGAGGCCGAGACTGTTCTGGTGACGACGACCTGTACGGCGACGGCTGAGGCTCATAGAAGAGCAACGGAATAGGGTCTGAAGGAGAGGCTTCAAGGCAGCCCAGGTGGGCTCAGTCGCCCGGGCTGCCGGGGAGGGGACCCACGGGAAGCGCCGCTCTCCCGGTTTGGGGTAGCCCCGCGCCTCCTTTTCCGCCACCTCCGGGGTTATGAGGGGCGGTGCGTGCCCGCCCGAGCTCCAGTGGGGAGGGGAAGGCCGCAGGTCCCACGTCGTGTCAGCTGCGGTGCCCCTTCGCCCTTGGAAGCACAGGGCTTCTTAGTCCTTTTCTTCCCGCAAAGGCGCGCTATTCATCTCCCACCTCCCAAGTTCTCTAGCTACCCCCGAGCCCCCAAACCCCTTCTAACACTCGGACTGAAATCTCTGGAATGCTAGTCCCTTTACTACCTCAGTGGTACACGGTTAGGCAAATTAACCATTGCTGCATCGCCCGGTCCCCCTTCCCGCGGTTGCGCATTTTTGCCCCTCCCCCATTCGCGGCGGCCCGTGAGCTTTCTGCGTTTCTTCTATTCCTTCCTCCACTCCCTTTACTCCAGCCCTCATTCTTGATACCTAGTTTGAGTTAGGGACCGTGGCCACTTCTCTTCTGCTTTCCCTCACGCGAGTGAGTCCTTTACGCTCCTCCCACCCCCACCCCTCCTCCCTACATTTCATGCCCATCGCTCACGGAAACTAACATTTTCCACTTGCCTCTTCCAGGCAGCTGGAAGGTGAACACCGGAGAGGCAGACTGCACTGTACAAGGAGCTTTACAAGGTTGGAAACTTTAATCAGTTTTGTAAATGGTAAACCATTCTTGCCTTCCTTAAAACGGCATTGGGTCATTATATTCTCTCTAGAACCTTTGTCCCAGTACAGTTGTTTTGGTGATAATTTCTGAAAATGCAGTTGAGAAGGATGTACTGGCAACAAGAAATTTAACATGTATTATTATTTTCAAGTAGATAGAATTGGGTGACATTTTAAACAGCTTAATTGAAGTATCAGAGAGTTTGCAGTGTGAGGGCCTGACCACTCTAGTTTGTCATAAATTATAGAACATATGTTAGCTGTATAGCACAATGCAGTTTGATCACAGCCAGCCTATGGATAATATGGCCTTGAAACTGTTTAAAATTGACATTTCTATTCCCCTTTCACAGAGAATTTGTATTCGTCTTCATAGTATATCAGTTTGGGATTCAATAATGTTGTTTCTAGCCATATGTTCTAGGTAATAATGCAAACTACATTGTTCCTAAATTAAATTATGCCAAGAATTTCATGGGGAAAAGGTAATTTGCCAACTTAGATTTGATTGAGACTTTAGAGAGGTTTAAAAATATCAACCTGGGTTCTGGAGGGTTTTGTAACTGAGAGTTATGTTTTGGGTAATGGGGGAAATTGAAGTATTGAGACAAGCCTGATGGGCCCATTAGGCTGTGCGTGTATGAGAGTGCATGTGGAAAAGAGAAAATACATGTATAACAGTGCTTAGTTTCATGATTTTACATAGTTGGAATTGTTTTTCCTAGTTCTCAGTGGTGAATTGTAAGCAGTGAATTTAATATCATGTACACGCTATTTTGGCCAGAATTTTGCAAGCTTCTGTGAAAAATTGTCACCGTTTTTCTTATTCTATCTGTAACATATCAATATGCTTCCATGTATGGTTAGACTGTATCTTGTATATTGAGTAGTATGTCTAGTAGAGTGGATTAAAAGGAATCTTTACTATGAGGAGGCAGCATTGTCTAGTGGACCATATGTTTGAGCCCTATTAACAAATCACACTAAAAAGAGGAAAATTTTAAAGCTGTTCCAATAAATTACAGGTGTTTAAAATAATGACAATAAGAACAATAAAAATAATTTATGACAGAATTATTAGCAGTCATAAAGAAAAGTCCTGGACAACTAGCAAAACTCTGAGTGGGTCACTATTGTGAGTTGGTATAAGCTGCAGTTGGAAACCAAAGTTCTTTTTGTACAGTCTTTTCATGTGGATTTGCACTTATAATTACTTGTTTGCAAATTTAAGGGACTGTAGTTAAGATGTCTTCCTAGAGATCTTGCCTTTAAGGAGTTCACAGTTTAATAGAAAGAGACCTGTAAACAAAGAATTAAATGTAGTACAGGATGTGAACAGGACCCAGAGAAGCACTGTGGCTCCGAGTCAGAACCCTGTCACATCTCCAACTTCTCTAGGCTTTCTGAAGCACCATTTTCCTGAACTACCTGTTTATTTCACACACCTTGGCTTCTCTCTGTAGGCACTGTTCTCTTCCATAGCATAAATGCCTAGTGAGGTGCTATTCAAAATCTTCTTGAAGCTTGCTGCTGGCCTCCACTCTATCCAAATAATTGTTTTCTGTATCTTTCTGTTACTTTGTCATAAATAATTACAGTTGATTCTCATTATTCACAGTAATTATGGTCTATAAAGTCACCTAAATCAACAAATTAGCAAATACAGAACCATTGCGCCCAGGGAACATATGTTCATACATACATATATGTGTCACATAGATTGTCAAATACTAAATTCAACTCATCCTGGTAGATTCTGTTCTTTTATATTTACAAAAGAGAAAATGAGGTTCAGAAGTGTTAAGTGACTTGTCTGAGGTGGCCCCCTAACAAATGCAAGAGTTAGGATTCAAACCCTTTCTTATTGGCTGCAGTGGAAAAGCTTCTTGCACTACACTGCACTGCCCCCTACTGTTTGTGTCTGTCAGTCACCTCTGTATGAGTGCTGAAAGAAAGAGAACACTGCCCTTGTTCTACCTTAGCTGGAAATGTGAAGGGTGACTCAGAATTTTTGCCATTCTGTGTATGTCTGTGAATGACTGCCAAAGTGCCGTGAGTAGTGATTTTAGGGTTACAGATAAATTTTAACAAGCAGGCAAATTCTTAAATACAGGATCCATAAATAATGATGGTCACCTGTACTTGTAAATGATCCCTGGAGTCTATTTTCTGGTACCTACCTCCCATACATTATAGATTCCTTAGTTTCTTTGAGAATTCATTCACTTATTCATTGATTCAACAATTTTTAATTAAGCACTTACTAAGTGAGGGTCTGTTCCAGACTGTCATGAACAAATTAGAGATTAAATTCCTGCCCTTATAGATGTTATATTCAAGTAAGAAAGACAGACAACTAGCAGTGTAGAGCTCAGGGGAGAGGTCCAGGTTGGAATTATAGCTTAACTTGACCAAGGCAAAACCTAGTGTGCTCCCTCCCACATCACATCCCCTACGTACTGACTTCCAGAATATTTCTGTTCTGCTCTGTGCAAAACACTTCCTTTTGAGCCAAGTCATGCCGTAGATGATCTCCTTCAAGTTCAACCTATCCTTAGTTTGGGTTCTGAGCCCTGATCCAGTCTTTTGTGGCCAAAGAAGTAGGATCGATTTGGTGCTTTATCTGTCCCACAGACTATAGTATATACAAAAGGAACCCCTTGGAGGCAGTTTCTTCAGATGACAATTGAGACTACTGCATTCCTTAGAGTTTCCTGAATGTCTGCCCAGTTCAAATACCTATCACATGATCATAGATAATGTTCAGTAAATCTTCCTTTTGGTATTGCATTTAGTAGTATTATTATGTGGTTATTTTGTTCATATGGCTGTCTTCCTTCCTAGACTGAGCTCTAGGAGGCAGGATCCACATCTTCATTCTTCTGTCCTTGGCACTCAGTACTCTGCCTGTTATATATTAATAGATGTACAAATGTATATCTTGAGGACTTGAGGAGTTCCTAACTCTTCCTAAAAGCATGGGAAAATATGAGGGATTCCTAGAGAAGTTAGTGTTTAAGCTGGTTTCTAAAGGGTAAGTAGGAATGTCTTCCCAGTGAATAAAATCTTGAGACAGCATGCTAAGCAGGGACCCCAGGTGCAAAGGCAGAGAGATACGGAAGGTTACTGAACACTCCTAGTAGATTATTTTTTTAAGCAAGCGAACAAAAAACACCTAAGGAAAAAACTATGAGTGGACTTGGCCAGAGAGCATGTCACAACTGAGCAACTGGCTAACCATGACCATAGCTACTCATTAGGAATGTAAATTTTAAGGAGAAACATTCTCAACTTGTTGGCAGGGTATTAGTAATAGTTTAGAAATACAAGTGTTGAACTCTGGGAACTGTTACACTGCAGCAAAATTATTTATTTCATCATGAAGCTCATATGTGTCCCACATCGTTAAAGGTGTTCAAAATATAATCAAAGAGCTCACAAGCTAGCGAAGAGACAGATGGATGGACTGGCTGATTTATCATGTGATAAGCGAGGTAGTAAAATGCTATAAGAAGAAAAGAATAGTTAGTAATATATGAAGCACTGGGGGGAAATTTTCTCAAATGAGGTGATAATTGAGCTAGAGTAAGGAGTTCACTAGACTGAAATTAGGAACTTGTTGAAAATTCATATTTTATGGTAGGAGAGATTAATAACTATCCATTTTTGCTATATCTGTTGTGGGTTTTAATTAATAGTTATATTTATGTAAACAGTTTTTCTGAACACAATGTGAACAGTTATGTCTTTTTTTTTTAAGATTTTATTTATTTATTTTTTAGAGGGGAAGGGGGGGAGAAAGAGAGGGAGAGAAACATCAATGTGTGGTTGTCTCTCACATGGCCCCCATTGGGGACTTGGCCTGCAACTCTGGCATGTGCCCTGACTGGGAATCGAACTGGTAACCCTTTGTTTCACAGCCCGAGCTCAATCCACTGAGCTACATCCACCAGGGCGTGAATAGTTATATCATAGTAGAATAATTTTGTGTCAAAATAAACTGGTTTAACCAAAAGTTTCTATAATGCTAGACTTCTCTAGAGCCTTTAGTATATTATTGTCCATTGTGAACTGTGGATTTCCAAAAGGCATACATTGCATTTAACCATGGTCTCTCCTCGCCCCACCCCCCCGCTCCCATCCCCACCCTCAGAGCATGCATAAACATCTTTTGGCAATAGAATTATATGAGACATAGTTTGAGGAGTGATGAATTAAAATATATTTTTATCAAACCATGATTTATCAGTGTTCTCCATGTGCATTGTAAGGTAATCTGTATAATCTTATAGGAAAGGAGGAGAGATATTTGAAAAGAAAGAATGTATTCTAACCAAGCTATTATCACCCTCCTCATTAAAAAGTATGGCTTATTCACATTTTGAAATTTCACTGGAGACACCCTGGGGTGTTGCAAAACCAGAACAGAAGTCAGTGCTCGGGACAAAGGCAAAAGCTGCCTTGAAAATGAGAATCTTCCAACTTGAGAAGATACTGCTTTTTGTGTGTGTTCATATTAAGCCGTATCAGACATATATTTTGCCAGTCAGGTATTTCATTTAGAAACATTCTGAAAATCCATGCCCTCTTCTGACTCTGGAGTTTTAGGGGTTGTATGCCAACGTTCTCCTTTCAATAAGATTTGATTATATAAGCATTAGAGACTGAGACCTTATACTATGTAATTTTAATTCACCTGCCAATTCTGACTGTGTGAGTAAGTCCCGAGGAATTGTTAAAATTAAGGAAGCAATGATCATGTTTTTGACAGCTCACTGAATTTGAAGTCAGAAGATGTTGGGTTGAAATGTGTCTCTGCCAGCTTTCTATTTGATTGACATTGGGCACAGCTACCTAACCATCTGTGGCCTCCATTTCCTTTCTGATGAAATGAAGATACATAGGGTTAGTGTGAGGATGAAGTGGTGCGCATAAACGTACTCCATAAACTCTGAAGCACTACAGAA